GAAGGCGCACGGCTTCTCGTCCTGCGTTTCGGAACTTTACTTCTGCTTATTCCTTTTTTTCGAGTTCTTGGGGATGTAGAACGAATTGCATTGTCCATAAATGATTATTAATTTTTTAAGGTACTCTTTTTTGGTAATCAAAAGTGCGTTTTTGCTGGACTTGAGCACTTTTTACTTTTACACATTTTACAACTTATTTTCTATTGCTCACATAGATCTATTATATACATAAAAAAAATTACAGAAATAGAAAGAACTGTCAGTTGTTAGATTGTCAATATCTTTATAATTGTTTGATGTTTTGAAATTGTGCTGTGCTTATGTAACGGGTGTATGTTACTGGTTCTATAGTTTCACAATTAGTTTCGAAAATATGTATATTCATCAACGATTATTCTTTTAAATTATGCTTGATTCATATGTATTAAATTCATCCACATTTTATATATAATTATTGCTTTGAAATTGGCGTGGTCACAGCTCGATTTTCGAAAGATTTTTCTGTGATGGAATATTTGTAGAAATCTTGAGGAAACTAAAAGTTATGAATTTAATTGATTTAATATTGATGAATTATTAAAAGTTTTGAGGGGATGCAATGGATCTTCTTGCATTATATGTAGATTCTCTTTGTTTGTTAACATTACTACTTAAGTAGAAATGGGTTTCATTGGAGCACATGGAACACGACGACGAAATTCACGTTTCGTTAAAACAACAGACTGAAAATTTGTCAAATAACAGTAACAATAAATCCACTTCTATATGCAGTAAGCAAAGTGATATCTATGCCATTCTGATGTTCATTCTCATTCACATCCATGGCTTATTGACAACTAATTACTATATATCTACATCATAAATGTCAAAGCACAGTGACATTTGGCGCCATCTGCAAAAAATGGCAGCCAATTCAAATTATGACATTACTTTTGCGCCACCTTGTAGAATTTAATGAAATTAATGTTATGAATTTAATTGATTATTGATGAATTACTAAAAGTTTTGCGGGGATGCAATGGATCTTCTTGCATTACATGTAGATTCTCTGTACCCCAGAAACGAAAATTTAGTTTGTTAACATAACCATTTAAGTGGAAATGGGTTTCATTGGAGCACATGGAACACGACAACGAAATTCACGTTGCGTTAAAACAACAGATTAAACTTTTGTTAAATAAACAATAACAATAAATCCACGTTCTTGAGGTGTGTATCCTCCATGGCTTGTTGACAACTAATTCACTATATATCTACATCATAAATGTCAAAGCACAGTGACATTTGGCGCCATCTGCAAAAAATGGCAGCCAATTCAAATTATGACATTACTTTTGCGCCACCTTGTAGAATTCAATGAAATTAAAATTGATGAAACTCTCAAAATTCAGTTGTTTCAAGAACAAAATGTTCAGTTTTAAACTTTAAGGAAAGTTTTCATCAAAATCAAATTTGTAAAGCATGATTTTATTGTTTTAAATGATGTTAAATTCATTAAATAATAAGAATTAATCTGAGTTTTTTTTATAAAAATTAATTAATTGCATTATTTTTTTAATATTTAATAATTGGGTCATTATGACCTAGTTACAGGTACATTTTTATTATTTTCTAAGAGTTAAAATTCAATAATTTATCATTCATAATTGTAATTTGTAATGTTTGAACATACCTTGAACATCGATGCATCCCAAAGTCTTCTTCATAGAATTAGTGTTGATCTGACACATGTAACAGCCGCCGTCCGTTTCTTTGAGTTGTCTGATCCTGAGTTGCCAGACCCTCAGATCGTCGTCGTGCGTGACGCTGATCCTCGGATTGTGCGTAATTACGCGTGTGTGAAGACTCAATATCGTTTGATCGTCCGCCTTCATCCATCCCACCTGCAAAACAAACCCAAAATCCATCAAAGCGGGAAAAAAGAATCACTTTTCCACGAATAAAATCTGCGAAACAATTTCTGCCGTTCCCTCGGATCCTCCGGTTAAGCAAACAGTCGGCGGAGCGGAAAGGATTGATCCCACCGATTTTAATTAGGACATTAGCGCATTGTTCGTTCAATCACCGAACCGAGCCCGCAATTTGCAGCGTAATTTGCAAAATCGTATAACATTTAATTCGATCACAGCAGAGTTGCGACGAAAAATGTTCGAACGCGAATATTTATGTCGACGATTTTAGTAATAATGAAAAAGAAAGAAACACGAAAAACTTTTTCCCTTCGCCACGTAATCACATCGCATTCTTGCCGCAATCAAAAACCGTACTTTGATGATGTACACTTCTTTTCATTACAAACTTTCTTATATAAAAAGAAAAAAAAAACAACATTTACAATACTTTTACAAACAAGAAAGTTTCCTTACATTCGATATAATTATAAAAGCTAAATGAAACATATTTAATTTATAAGTTTTTTTGTAAAAATAAATTAAATTTTTTGTTTCAACTTAATGTCATTTCTTTTTTGTAATATTTCAATAAAAATTAACAACAGAATGTTCAAAATAATGTTAATACACAATTTTTTTATTGTTTATACAGTCTAGTTTCTTTATGTTGTGTTTATTTTGAATTCGGGTTTAAAGTCCTCTATTAGTCCGGTTTCAAACAGGAGAAACCGATTACCCGGACTGTGCGAGGTAATGCTGTATTTAATTAACTTGGTTTTATAACATTTATTCCTATTTCAATAAACTTCTTTCTTTCTGGTCTTAATTAGTTCACTAAGTCGAAATATCGGACTGTTAAAAACCGGACTAATATCAATATTTCCAATTGATTGTAATCTCAGTACCTCGCACAGTACGGGTAACAGATTCCTCCAATATTCCTGACTGTTAAAAACCGGACTAATTGAGAAACGTTTTTTTTTATTAACTTATTTCAGTAATTTCATAAACATTTGTTTTTTTTTAAATGCATGAATTCCTCCAACTTCAACGTTGAATCAAGTTTAGGTCAATTTTTCTTCTTTAATTTTATAATAATTCCATCATTTTTTTTGTAAGTTTTGGTAATTTTCATACATTTTCATTAAATTTCGTTACATTTTCATTCGCTACGTAATCACATCGCATTCTTGTCGCAATCAAAAACCTTACTTTGATAATGTTCACTTCTTTTCATTACAAACTTTCTTATATAGAAAGAAGAAAAAAAACAACTTTTATATATTTTAAAGTACTTTAACAAACAAGAGTGTTTCTTCACATTCGATATAATTATAAAAGCTAAACGAAATATAATTAAATTATACATTTTTTTTTGTAAAAATAAATTGAAATTTTTGTTTCAACTTAATGTCTGCCATAGTTTTTCAATATGTTAATAAAAATTAAACACAGAATGTTGAAAATCAATCTTTCTCATTAAATCTAATGAAACAATCGAATTATTACCAATGAAGTTGCTTCAATTTAGCAAAAATTTTCATTTATAATTTTTTTTTCTTTGTTAATTTTTTAATATCATCAGTTTATTTATTATATAATAACATTCAAATCCTCACAAAATATTAATTTACACCTGTTTTACTATCGAATTTAATCTGTGATTATGTAAAAAAAGAACTAAAGAACTAAATTGATTGGAAACAAGTTTGGTATTTCAATAAAGAAAGGAGCAAAATTTGCATTATTAAACATATTTAGTTTAAGGAATGATTTGCTATATATCTACATCATAAATGTCAAAGCACAGTGACATTTGGCGCCATCTGCAAAAATGGCAGCCAATTCAAATTATGACATTACTTTTGCGCCACCTTGTCGAATTTAATGAAATTAAAATTGATGAAACTCTCAAAATATAGTTGTTTCAAGAACAAACTGTTCAGTTTTAAACTTTAATGAAAGTTTTCATCAAAATCAAATTTGTAAAGCATGATTTTATTGTTTTAAATGATGTTAAATTCATTAAATAAAAAGAATTAATCTGAGTTTGCAATAAAACTTAATAGTTTGTTGCATTTTTCTTAATATTTAATAATTGGGTTATTTTGTCCCATACGTAGTACTTGTGTTTAACTAGTTAATAAGTTTGCATAAATTCAATTTATCAATAAAATTAAACAAATTAAATCAGAAATTTTCATTTATAATTTTTTTTTTGATAATTTTTTCATTTCATCAGCTTATTTATTATATATTAACATGCAAATTCTAACAAAATATGAATTTACACCTATTTTACTATCGAATTTAATCGGTGATTATGTAAAAAAATAAGTAATGAACTAAATTGATTGGGGACAAGTTTGGTATTTCAATAAAGAAAGGAGCGATCATTTAAATACATTTAAGGAATGATTTGCAGTGGTGAAAATACGTGGATTCGCGCACGTAACCAGAATAATAATAGTCGAATCGAATATTCCAGAAAACTAAAGAACGTTGTGAAGTCGTTTGACTACATCTGCATTGATTAGATTTAGTTTTCTTCCATTTTCTTCTCTCTATATCTCTATTTTTTTTTATATAAATTTACTTTCTAGTCCGGATGCAATTTCCGTTATTTTTCCAGTCTCATTGGATTACAATGTCAGACTGGGGCGTTTCTTATATGAATTTCCTGTATTCATGAAAACTACGAATGAATATTTATTAAATTCCGCACGGAGCTTTGCATATTTGCGTGAAAGCTCGAGGTCTTCTCTTTCCATGCATGTCTCTAAATACAAGATCAGCGTCATCATTATCAGATGATAAAAACCAACGTATTTTTTGTTGTTGGTTGTTGAAAGAGGATTATTTGTATAACTGAAGAATACATAAATAAACTGAGAGTTGAGAGCGATGGAAGCGTTTCTTCTGGGATGCACCGGAGATGGCGGAGAAAATGGGGAGGAAAATACGGACGCGGTGCAATTTGAAATGCAAATGCGATGAAATATTTATGCGAGTCGCGTAACAGTTTTTGTCCGTTCCTATTTAATCCCGGACATTTAATTAATCGCATCCGAAGTAACTCAAATCTCCTTATAATTTACATTGGTCTACGAAACGGGGGAGAGGTTTTCCCATCGGACATGAAAGAGATGCAACTTTGCAAATAAACATTAAGTAGACGTATTCATTGAGAACACGTTTTAACCGAATCTCTTATTTTAATTAATTATAATTATTACATCATGAATAATTGTTACATTTCTAATTGAAATTTTAGAGAAATTTATATTACAATTTACATAAGTTGTCTAACGATTTTGAAGACTTAGTGTTATCGAAAATTTCATAATTCATCATTTCCACCAATCATTTCCAATTGAAATCTGTGAGAGTTTATTTGAAAATAAGTAAAATTTCAATAACGTAACTTAAATATAATTGCAACAATACCACCTCGCATAGTGCGGCCGTTAATAGTCCGGAATTACTATAGTAAAGTTTAAAAATGTTAACAAAAAAAAAGCAAATTAATACACAATTTTTTTTTATTGTTTATATAGTCAAGTTTCTTTTGGTTCTGTTTATTTTGTATGCGGGTTTAAAGTCCTCGATTAGTCCGGTTTCAAACAGGAGAATCCGGATTACCCGGACTGTGCGAGGTATTACTATTTCAATGAACTTGTTTCTCTTTGGTCTTAATTAGTTCATTGAGTGGACATATCATCTTACTGCTATGCACTATTTCACGTTATGAAGTTTATAATTAGACTTGCACATGGTGCATGATCATTCATTCCACTCGCTTTTTGCGAAATTATTCTTAAAACATTATTTAATTGTTTACGTAATTTAAATTTAGTTTGTATAACAAAATTCCAGAATGTTCAAAAACCGGATATAATAATCTCAGTACCTCGCTCAATGCGGGTAACAGATTCCTCCTATATTCTTGACTGCTAAAAACCGGACTAATATCAATATTTCAAATTTATTGTAATCTCAGTACCTCGCATAGTGCGGGTAACAAAATCCTGACTGTTAAAAACCGGACTAATATCAATATTTCAAATTGATTGTTATCTCAGTACCTCGCACTGTGCGGGTAACAGATTCCACCAATATTCCTGACTGTCAAAAACCGGACTAATATCAATATTTCAAATTGATTGTAATCTCAGTACCTTGCACAGTGCGGGTAACAGATTCCACCAATAATCCTGAATATTAAAAATCGGACTAATTGAGGAACGTTTCTTTACCAACTCATTTCAGTAAATTTTTGATAAAAATGCATGAATTCGTTCAACTTCAACGTTGAATCAAGTTCAGTTCCATTTTTCTTCTTTAATTTTATATTAATTGCATCATTTTTTTGTAAGTTTCGGTAACTTTCCTACATTTTCATTAAATTATAATCAGTTTTAATTATAATTGCATAATTTATGAACTTTTCAGTAATTTTTGATACAATAACTTTTGTTGCTATAATAAATAATTGTATAGTTTGTTGTACTTTTTAGTAATTCCAAAATTACAATTTGAAAAAAAATCCTTCAAACTTTTGTATTCTACAAGGTTTTTAAATGAAAATAAAATAAAACATGTTATTTTAATACATTCTTATATAGTTTCCAAAATTTGGTTTTATTTTATATAAGTCCTAGGTAATTCTGAATGAAGTATTATTTCGAACTGAGGACTCTTATTAACATAATTCGTACCTGCGTATCGCTTTTGTTGATGTTATCCATTGTTCCGTGAAAACAATTGCCGGGGTTGGCACAAAATTAATAAATTCGCAAAACCGTGGTGGATGCGCCGGGTGCTCGACGCGCGCTAATCCGATTTAATATGAAATTGCTTTTCGAGAGCTTTAATTTTCCGCCCGTTTCTTTTCTTCTTCGAAACATCCCCTTTCCTAACAAAAAAATAAACACCATCCAAACCCTCAACAAACAAACGTAAAATAAACGTTTCTTTCGCGACTCGAAATT